CAATTTGAGATGAAAATCTCTAAAGCCCATCGAAAAAAAAGTGCTCCGAATCCGATGATACCGAAGGGTTTTGTCGGGGACAACACGATCTATATGAATCCGAAGGAAGCCCCATGAAAATCACAACTTGAATTCAAACCCGAACTCAAAAAATGGTCAGAAATGGATTCTAATAAGGGGGAAAGGTAGAGCTCATCGAAAGGAACAATAAACGTGAAGGTCGAAGACTTTTCACTTAGTAAATCAAGTGGAGCAGAAGAATAAAAGGTGGCAGCCCAAGGAGCTCCCATGGCTGCCGGCCAAGAGGGGGAGGAAGATGATCAAAATCTGACTTTTCTTCTTTAAGTCCCCTATTTATAGAAAATCTCAAAAAGTGCCCCGAAAGGGCCCCGTCTGGTCTGGAAAAGTGAAATTTGAGCAGATGCGCTCAAACGGAAAAACTCTATGAACAAAAAAGATTCAAAATGAGAAAACATGAACAACGCAAGAAACGGCGTCAAAAACTGAGTCCCGAGCAGAGAGATATGCCCCGAACAAGTTTGGCGCAAACCGAGTTCAGAAACTCTGAAACTGGAGAAAAATGATCAGAAGGAAATTCTAAGAGTGCACAACTCAAAGAAATGTGAAAATGAATCCCGTACGAGGATCCAGGCTCCAGACGAGGTATTTTTAGAATAACTTTCGTTAATTGCACAATGGCCCTTCCAAAAAGTGAAACTGCACTAATACCCCAGAATGAAAATATCTTCCAAAAATATTTTCTTAAAAACCCCTAAAATAAAATATCTTCAAAAGATATTTACGAAAAACATCCCAAGAAAAGAAAATAATTCCAAAAAACTATGTATCCATGTCCCTATGGACACCAAGAGCAACCAGAGTACTTTCTTACAAAAGTAAAGATACGTATTTTGTGAAAATTACTTAGAATGAAGATATGTGAAGTTAAAAACCAACTTCAAACACAAAGAGTGTGGTTATGCGAACAAAGTGACAAACGGGGAAAAGACAAAATAGGAAAAATGACGAAATAGGGAAAATGACGAAAAGTGAATAGTGTCGAAAAACGAAAAATGTGGAATTGACTCGGTCCTCAAAGGAAGTTGTCAATCCAAAGAAAAGAGTCTCGGAAATCACTCTCGAACACTCGAGATGACACTAAGTGACGAGGAACTGAACTCAGAAAGGAAAAAGATCAACGGAAAAAAAATTGTAATGACCTGAAATTTTTTAGATTTTAATTTATAATTTTATTTTATTATTATTATTATTATTAGTTTTGATGAAGAAGGCAGCTTACAGCCGAAGGTGAGAAAGAAAGGATGTAATGGTGAATTGTTTTGGCGGGTCTCACTTAAATTGTAAAGGTGAGTTTTGATTTGATATTATTATTGTTTTTGTATATATATGTTATCTATATATATGTTATCTATATATATATATATATATATATATATATATTATAACTTTCCAAGAGAGAGGCACCTGGCCGAAGAGAGAAAAGAGAATGGAAATGTAATGGTGATGATACTTTTTTCGGGGCCCACAGGAAATGGTTTAATGAGCTTGACTTTTGTCACATGATTTATGTGTGTGTGTGTGTGTGTGTCTATATATATATATATATATATATATATTGTTTATTGAAGCATAAAAGTGGGCAGCAAGGCAAAACGTAATGAGGAAGAAAAATGGTAATGATGTGGTGTAGGTCCTACGGGTTGATTTTCTGCCAAAAATTTCTTTGGCGTTGGTTTTGTTCACGTGGGTGGTAGTTAATGTAAGGACGGATTGTGATATTGTCTGATATCCTTTGAGGGTGTAGTGAGCATTATTGACGCGTGTATGGAGTTGGTGAGTGGAGTCGGTGCATTCTCCTATATATGTATTTATCTTATGACTTGAGTAAGCAGAGAAAAATTAGAGAATAGAAAGAGAGCTGAGACAGAGATAGTTTGAGCAGACAGTGAGTGAGTTGAGAGTTGCAGAGGGCACAGCAGAAGCTTGGAGACTTGATGATTTAGTAAGGAATTAATTCTTTTTTTCAGTGTAGGGTTCTCTATACCTTGAATGGCTTGGAGTGGTTTTGATTAAATGTTTTGAATACATGCATATGTAACGACCCTAGCTGATGCCAAATTTTTTTTAAAAAAATTGGCATAACCTCCCCTAAAAATGGGCCTACCACAACCTGTTTAAATGAATTTTTTAACCTGTTCCAGCACAATAAACATATAATACATTCTAACATCCCTTTCATCCATTCACCATGCCTTTACTTAGTTCCTCTCATGGTGGAACATCCACATACCAATTAATCTAAATTATCATAATTACAGTCCCAAAATACATGGTTGAGATTTAAAGTCCCTGTCTTACAACGTTATATGATACAATTGCATGAAAATATATATACCATAATTCCATTAGTTTTATTTACATCAAACAAAAGATAAGTTCGTTCTTAAGTTACAAGGCCATGAATATTAACTTAATTACATTTCCACAACTATGAATATACATAGAATGGTCAAAATACAAAATAGCAAACAACCTTCTAACAACTTTTAAGCTTGAGGTGGATTGTCGTCCACCGGTTCATTTCCAAAACCTGAAAAAAAAAAATATAAATATATGGGGTGAGCAAATTGCTCAGTAGGTGGCACCTAAGACACGCATCTTGTGTCCCCGTGAACCCAAACAAGGAATAGGACAATAGGAATCGGGGTCATACTGTGTAGGGAAAATACAACATAACATACAGTCTCAACACAATCAATATGGAGCAATGAAATGCAGTGCATGTTAATGTCGCTCCCCATTTTCAACAATTCAAATCCACCAATTTCAAACTGTTAATGTAACCCCCTTTGGTGACTCCGTAGCGCCGAGAGAAGGATTGGCTAATGTCCCTGACTTTTGGTGACTCCGCAGCGTCATTATGGGGACCAGATAGCTCAACCACGCTAGAGCAATCTCCTTAGTTCCCTCTAGGTTACATTAACCTACCGGCCCGTTGGTGACTCTGCAGCGACCGAGTTTTCTCAAAACTCTTTTTCATCAAAACTTGTTTCCCCCAAAAGTTCCCCTTTTTGTATCAAACAATTTCTTTCCCATTTTGGTACCCAATGACATGCATGATCATCATATGCTTTCATGATGCCATGATACATGAAAGATTCATACAATACATAATTTAACATGCTCCCATTCAACAATTTACAAAGAAATTACTAGCACCATAAGCATAATGGAAGCTACACATAGACATGCTTTCCATATAACAAATTCTACCAAGATATAAACACTGAAGCATGTAAAATCAACATCTAAGCATGTTTGTCTCATAAAACCACATATACACATAAACATGAATCTCATTTACAAAACCAAATCATTATTAGAGGTAATCAACTCAATTAAGCATGTTAAGCATCAATTAACAAGGATCAATTCACTAGGGGGCAAGAACTCATGGATTAGAAACCCTTACCTCTTAGAATTGCGAAAACCCTCAAAATGGGTCCAAATTTCGAAGTCTCTAGGGAGCACCAAAACTGAAATTGCTTGTACCCACGTGTAGAGTTCGTCGTACTCTCCGTTTTGCCTCAAACGGCACTTAAATCTACCATGTAATGAGAGATAAATCAAGATCCAAAGTTTGGCTTCCAAAAGAAAAGAAAAATGAAAGAAAATGAGGGAGAAAGAGGAAGAAACGGGGAGAGAGAAAAATGAGAGAGAATGAGTGGTCTCTAAACCACTAATGCATTAGTGGTGGGTCCCTCCACTTCAAATTTTGATTTTCCAATATTCTTTTGTCATAAAATTCTAAACCACATAACATGTACAATGCACCATATGCATATACCACTTAGTCCACATGAATTTAAATGTACCAATTGCAATTGGACCCAACCACAATCCCGTACGCAAAACGTGAAATGACAGAAATACCTTTACGGCAACAAAATTTTCAGAGAATTAAAAAATGGCAAAAAAAATCGGAAACGTCACAGCATATTTATTTTGTTTATAGTCACATAAATATGTATATTTTTTTGTAAAGCTGTTTTTGTTAAACCTCCATGAAATTCTTGTTATGGTTTTTCCTACTGGGACTTTTGTCTCACCACCCTCCAGTTTCAGGTACCGAGGATGAACGGGGATTGCTAAATTCGGGCTTAGGCTGAAGAGTCGGCGTTGCGAGTTTTATTTTTTTATTTGGAGAATTTTTTTGTATATTTGAGGAACTTGACTTTGTATAAAAAGAGGGGCAATTTTTCTATGATCTTGGGTGTATTTTGATGTATCTGATTTTGAATAAATGGAAGATTTTATTGGAATTTTTGAGGCGTGACAAAAATATCCGTAAAAATTTGAGAAAAAGAAAGGAAGGAAAAAGACCAGGTCATTACATACAATTTTTAACATTACATCTAACTGATCACTCACGAAATCGAGGACACAAAGGCAAAAAAAAAGAAAAAAAATTTATGCAACTGGTGGGATTTCAAATATCAATAATTATTTATTTATAATTTAAATATACTAGATTATATAAATCAATCTTTACTTTTTTGATTTTTCCAAATCCTAATCTAACTCTGATATCAATTGTCGAGTTTTATTTCAATAATTTATATAGAAATCAACGTTTAGAATTAAATCTCACCAAGTAAGTTAGAAAATCACAATCAAACGGTATAAAACCATACTCCCAATTAAACTACCAAATTAGAAAGTACAACCCAATCCATCAAGTATCAGTAATCATATTGCAATTATATTTTAGAAAACGTAGTGCTTATTATTTATATATATAAAAATTTTCAACATGTAACACACAATACCGCTCCTTGCACGGGTGAGCTTGGATCGATGTCTTACCCTTACCAACCAATTAATTTTTAGGTGAGATAATACGGCCGGATCCAACAATTTTTACCCAAAGTTTACCTAGACACACTAGTTTAAAACTAGTTTCTACCAATAGCTTCCTAAGACATGAAAAAAAAGACCATTCCCATGCAAGAGAAAGAAGCTTACCATCTCCTTCATTAACCATGTAATTTAGATAATTAAGTTGCGCGCGAGCTCACTGTCCATATTAATTAACAGCATGAAATTAAACCGAAGACAATAATCAAATATAATGGAGAAAATACAAGAGCTGAGCAACAGTATATAGCTGGCTTACTCTGGTACTGAACGCACTTATTTCCAATCATAAAAAAAAAAAAAAAAAAACAACCAAGCACACATACAAATTTTCAGGCTGATCGATCACGAAGCCTTGAAACTTAAGCCAGAACCAGCCAACTTCTCTTCCACAAGGTTGTTCAAACGTTGTGCCATTGAAGGAGTTAGATAATTAGCCCAATCTCCCACCTTACCTTTCCTGAAAAACGCACTGTTTGGAGACCCTGACTTTCGTTTTCCAGTGTTATTAACTTCCAAAGATTTAAGATTTTCAAAACTACACAACCTTGATACTTGTTCCATCACTCCATCTCTCTCTTCATCAGCAGAAAAAGGACAGCCCAAGAACTCAGCCAACTTCTTCAGGTATTGAAACTTGCCATCTTCTTTCATATCCTCGTATTTCAAGAACAACACCTTGTTTGGATTCTCCAAGCTCGCCTTCCAGTACCCCAACACTTGGTCACAAAAGGGTCCAAAACTGTGGATTTCATTACAATACATGTCAAAACTTTCTTCTAACGAAAGTGGTGGTGCCACATATTCCTTGGAACGCTGGACTACGAAATGCCAGTAGGAGATGAATTGGTCCAATGGGTTTCGACACACGTACACAATCCGGCAACATGAGTCTCTCATAGAAGCCGGTAGTAATGAATATGCCGTGTGGGTTGCGAAAATTCTCGGGTTAGGATGGTGTTCGAGGTCTGGGATTTGGTTTTTGTTGGAGAAGAGATCCAAATCAAGGAAGGGTACAAGATCATGAGGGCTGGTAATGAGCAGGGGGGTGTCATTGAGGCCATAACGGGCACGGTTTACGGTGGTGAAGATCAAGGACTTTAACCAGGCGGTGCCATATTTTGGGAAACTGGCTAGGAATAGGTCAGTGGCTCGTGCCTGAAACCGTCGCTGGAAGGATATCACACCATGAATTCCCCATGATGGAAACCAGAAACCTTGGTATTGAAAGATATAACTAGTCCCATCCCAGTTTCTCTCTCTAGGAAGAGCTTGCAGCAACTGATCTTCTTCAGTTTCCATTGAAATGGACCTCTGTTTTCTCAATTACTCGCGAGATGGAAATAGCAGTTCTATCTATAGGAAAAAAAAAAAAAAAAAAAATTGCATATAATACTTTCTTATAATATTATAATTTATTATTATTATTATATTTTCTTATAATTGTTGGGTATTTGATTCAATTGCGCATTATAGACAGGTTGTACAAGAAGGTGAGAGTTTACCTGTTTTTTTCAAGACAATAATATTCCATTTTAGACTTTATTGCCTTGGTATATTACTATATTATGTTGTGTGTATACCTAATTAGATGGTATTGGAAGGAAAAACACCACACAATTACAGCGCACATCAATGCTACACTATACTGTACCCTTTGCAGCAGTGAACCAGAATCCCATGACCACCTTTTCTTCAATTGCACTTTTGCAAAGGCCTTATGGTCATTTCTTCGAGCACGTTGTGGGTTCCATATCCTTCCTTATACATGGACTGAATTGATTGCTTGGGCATCGCATCATTGGAATGGCAACAACGCATTCTACAACAACTCAATATCCAAAACGTGTCTTGCTTCTCTGGTTTACAATGTTTGGACAGAACGCACTCGTCGGATCTTCAAGAAGAAGTCTCTCTTTGCAAATTCGGTTCTGCACCTGACACTAGATTCTGTTAGATCCAAATTACTTACCTCCTCAATCCCAGATACATTGAATGCTCGAAGAATTGCGGAAGAATTGATTTTCCGGCCACCTCCAGTGCCGCCGAACCATTTACACCGTTGACGAAAGTCGACGAAGGTTGGAGGCAATTCTCTATGGCTACCGGAATGTGTTGTGGACCTATTTTAACTGCTTTTGGCACTCTTTTAAGTCTTGCATAGGCCAACCTGGGCCTCTTCCATTTGGGCCTTGTTGTTGTTGTTTAGCCTTTGGTTAACACTGCCTATTGGGCTCTGTACCTACCTTGTTCGTATGTATTGAAAATTAACTTTCAAAAAAAAAAAAAACCAACCAAATATACACGCACACTTTGCTTTACCTTTCAAAGGAAAGATAAATAAATGAATAACAAATAAATTAACTAATTTTCGCACTACTATAGAATCTTCACTTTTGCCAATGTTAAAGCAACATTTTCTTTCTTTCTTTTTTATTTTATTTTATTTTTTTTTATTTTAAAAATCACAAATACCATCTACATTAAAATTTTAAAAGTTAATTATTCTAATAAATTAAGTGTTTATTGAATTAATAACGAATTTTAATTGACTTCATTTACCACCGGATGTATAACACTTGTAAGATTAAAAAAGATCAAAAGAATCATCAATTTACAATAATTGCCTAAAATTTCAGTACTTATTAGTTCTTAAAATTTAAGCACTTAAATTCTCTAATAATTGATATATTTCCTTGTCATTCCCTTATTTATATATAGTCACATAAATTGTTTTCCATTGATTTCTTCATCAAGGAGGTTCCTCTAGACAAGTATTGTTCGGTCTTCATAAATACTTAATTCATGATATTTGATGTATCGAACATTGAGTTTGTTACGACGTATGAGTCAGGTAGCGAACCTCCCAAGTCTTTTGTTTGTGCTTTGGAACACACTAACAGAGGCAAGAGATGTAGGCTTTTGTTTGTGCTCTGGAACACACTAACAGAGGCAAGAGATGTAGAGCAATTGTTGTCACACCAAATGAAAGAAGTTGATAAATAAGTTGTAAGATATTTTTACACGCAAAAAGTTTTATCTTAGATCAGATTTGAATGAAAAATGAATGAGACATATATGAATTAAATATTAATCACACTTAATAATTTAAAATTTTAAATTGATTGTGAAACATCATAACTTATTATAGTTGATATCAAAAAAAGAGTCCGAACGTGCATTCCAATAAGCCCAACCTCAATAAGAAGAGTTTGACCCTGAAGCGTGAATGTACGTGCATTCCAATAAGCCCAACCTCAATAAGAAGAGTTTGACCCTGAAGCGTGAATGTACGTGCATTCCAATAAGCCCAACCTCAATAAGAAGAGTTTGACCCTGAAGCGTGAATGTACTTGTACACTTGAATAGTCACATTAATCACAAGATGGACCATCCGGCACTATGTTTCGCAGCAATTCAGTGGGTCATAGTAGCATGAATGTACTTGCACACTTGATTAGTCACATTAAGCACATAACACAAATCCAGACAAGTTAAAGTGACATATCGTACAACTCATTGCACTTCTATATTTTCAGTATTGGATTAAGAAGGGACCACCATCCCTTAATGCCAATTTTTTTTTTTTTTTTTTTTATCACTATATAGTCAGGGTGCAACTTGGGATTCGCCAACTCGAAATCAATTCGAGCCAAATTTAATTTTTTTTTTTGTTTTTTCAAGTTTAGACAATTATATTTATAATTGAAATTGAATTTGGGTTGAAATTTTTTAATTTGAATTTATTTAGAGTTGGACTTGAGTTGAGTTGGAGTCTAACCCGAACACAAATTAACTCGCATTTCTAATTATATATATATATATATATATATATATATATATAATTTTAAATGCATTATATAATATTTAAATTTTCATCATTTTTTTTTTCTTTTCAACTCCATTTCTTTAAATCTCACGGAATAACTTATTGTAAGAGTATTAATTTGTTAGATTTTGTTTGAAATTTATTAAAAAGTTTGTAATAAGTTCATAACTTTTGTGTTTGGGAGTAATTTAATTTGAAACTAACTTAAGATTACATTTAAATTAAAAAAATGGAGATTGGTCATATGCATAACTCAAATTAACCCGCTTTTCTAATTAAAATATTAGCCCAAGTTACTAACTCATGTTCTAAAATAGAAGCACAGATTGCCCTTGAATTGAGTAGTTAGGATTTAAGTAGACCTCGAATTGAGGAGTTAGGATTAAAGTAGAGATAGAGTTGGATTAAAGTTTAACGGGTTGTGCTCGAGTTGCACCTTCAATCTGCCCAAATTACAACCCTAAAAACAAGCTCAATGGTACGCTGACTTCATTATAACCGGTCCAAAAGAAAAGTCTCCACCCCAAATTTTAGGGCACAAGATTAATCGATTAGCACACATAGGACGACTTCAAAAAACAGTTAACAGTTAATCTTTGTGACTAAAAGCTTCACCATTTCCATCTATGTCCCATATACAACCTCTAGGATCCTAGATATTTACTGCTGAGGTGGTTAACACAGGTGCTCGGTGGACTTTACATGGCCACGAGGCTTCGAACTCTGCAAATATCCTTTGGCCATTAATTAATCCAAGGCCAGTCTAATTTTTCACTTGAACTGTACTGTATTTATTTATAAAGTACTTTATGTTTCCTGTAGTTATGTACACGTTACAGTTATTCTTTCTAATAACACTTTATTTACCCGGAAAAAAAAATATTAAGAGCATGAGAAAGAAAAAAAAAAAGAAAAAGAAAAAGAAAACAAAAAAACGCAGGATCCCCTGTTAGGAATATTTAATTTTTATACATTGTTATTTTATTTTAATTCTATAATTATGATATGAAAACGGTTACAAGAATTTTATCCTTATAAATAGAGACCATCTATCATACTGTGTGATGTAGTCTTTGAGTGATGTGGATGTAAGGCCTCGAGTCTATTATTGAGATATTGTTATAGTATAGTATTTTACATATTGAGTTTGGAGCAACTTCATGCTAATACATAATTGTCTTTTAATTTTATAGAAGACCACTAACGAATATGAATTTTATCTTGGAGCCGTATTGAATCGTTAATACATGCATGTAATGCGGCCATATGATTTTAGCACAGTGCCTAACATGTGACACCCTCACATTTTTCACGCATAAGTTGATCAGGCTTATACACGAAAAACGAGGGATATAAAAAATAATTGGCAATATACAAGCATGGAATACAAAATGATGATAATAAAAGAATTTAGACAGGAAAGGAAACTAAATAATACAACATCCATCCATCCTTTATTTAATACAGTACTTCGTTACAACTTGGAAATCCTATGTCAAGGATCCCTAAATATAACCCTGAGAGTTCAACGTCAAAAGTAAATAAAAACTGAAACTGAAGTAATACATAAAACTTCTACCCTGAACTGGATCGTAAGAGTAGATGAGTTCGGATGGTGGTCCCTCACTGCTAACCTCAACCTTGGAACGGGTACTGACCGTATCCTGAAATAACAACAATGGTGGGTCAACCCCACGAGCAAGTCCTCTCTACTATGACCCAAAACAGAGAATCAAATAAATTAATCATTAAGAATCGGATGAGTACTATATCTGTATACATCCTAAGGGAAGTATCCAATGTATAACATGACCTCAACCAGAATAGACGGTGATCACTTAGACTCACACTAGGTGGTTAAGTGTCGCATTTCCCTACCCGGGAAATCAGCTATTATACATGGTGCACGGTACTGACAACACAGACTATAACGAACTACACAGTGATAACACCTCTCAAAGTACTGATGAATATACCGAGCATACAAATTAGGCAACACATGCCAATAATATTACTAAATATACTGAGCATGTCAATTAGGCAACATATGCCAATAATATTAAACCATATACCCCGACAGCCACACATCTGTCTATAGCAACGAATGCATAAGGTATAAATGAGTCTAAACTTATTAGCCAGCTCATATGGTTCTATATGGCAACACATCCATATAATATAAATGCGACATAATTAAATAGTCCATTTATTTCCTGAAATGCACACAGCATAATAATCATGGTTTATATATCATTTAACAGTATAAACATCCCATAAGATATCATGGATAATTTATCTGACGAAAACCATGGCATTATTTAGTTTAACAGTAATGTTTGATACCATTTAATAAGATAATAACACTATTTATATTTAACAATGTCGTTAAATAAATCACATTAGTATCCGTACTGTGAACGAGCCAATAAATGCTTAGAAAAGATTAATCGGTCATAAGAATAAGTAACGGGTATTAAAATAATAATTTCGTGGCCCGTTAAACCCGTAAATACCAACACAGTACCTAAAAATCCAAGTTTAAGGTTCTGGAATTTACAAAACAGGCCCTAGGGGTACTCTGGTTATTTCCAGCAGCTGTAGAGACCCCACACGCGCCCTCACGCGCCTCCCAGAGCCTCCCCACGCGCAGCCCAACCTTCCCCACTCTCCCACGCGCCTCCACGCGCGTTTGGCATCAGCCACGCGCGCGCACGCGCTCCCACGCGCGCACTAATGCATCCTGATGACGTGGCTCGTCCTAATTCGTTGGCTGCATCATCCTACTATGGGCGCGCTACACTGAATCATCTCACCCTCTCATCACTCAATCCTATGCTCATAGATCCGGGTGTACCGCGATAACATGGACCGCGATGCACCGGATCAATCAGCTTCATCTAAGGCCCAGGATGCGCGCCCACACCCTCTTATGGTGCGCCGCATCACACCGGATCACTCCGGTCATCTCCCCCATTGCCGGCGACCGGAAAACTCGCCGGAGGGTCGCCGGAAAATACAGAAAAATTCCGAAAATTGCCCAAAAATTCTAAAAAAAATTCTAAAGCCTTAAATAACAACTTCCTAAGTTTCAAATAATTACCTAGGCTAATAATAAATTATTTAATCCTTAAATAATTAATATCTCATTATTTTAATAAATTAAATAATTAATTTCTCATTATCCTAGCATGGTTTTTAACCTCAAAAATAGCCGAATAAATGTAATGAATAATTTATGGACTCAAAGGGGAAAAGTAGATAATAACTTACCTTTTTAGATTTAAAATAAATCCGCCGGTTGCGCGTAATCGGGTAAATTCCCTACACCGGTCCAGGCTCCTTTCTTTCTCTCTTTTCCTTACGGTCTTATACAAGAACTCACTTTTATTATTTCCTTCTTCAACTTATGTGAATCCTCAACTAAAGGGCTAACTTCTATATATACATAACTTATATAATTTAAATATTACAAATATCTATTTTTGCATTTAATTAACCACGTTCCCAACCATAAGGCTTTAAGGCTAGTAAGCCAAGTCAAGCAAGATGTCCTAAGGTAAATCCTATCCTAAGATTTAATTTCTTCATCATTACATTGATTTAATACTATTATTATTTATTATAAATATTGCTATTATTTTTATTATTAATAAACTATTATAATAATTATTATTATAAATATTATTATTATTAAATACAAATTAAATACTTTAATTAAATAATATTAATTAATCTAAAACCTAACCAATAAAATGTCTAAACTAATCATTAGAATATAAAGAACAAAAAAATCAATATTACATGCACAAATAAATAAAATTAATTAAATAATTTAACATATATAATTAAAAGGTGAATAAATCTACACATTAAAGAATTAACCTAACACAAAAATTAATTTAAATAAACTCTTTAAAATTACGGTGTATTACATTCTCCCCCCCTAATAAAGGAATTTCGTCCCCGAAATTCACTACATACCTGTATTAAAAAGCTCTGGATACTTGGCACGGATAATATCTTCCCGTTCCCAAGTAGACTCTGTAGCACTATGATGACTCCACTGTACACGTACTAATGGAATAGTCTTCGTGCGCAGTATCTGATTCCTACGATCGAGAATACAGTAAGGTTGTTCCAAATAGGTTGCATCGGGTTGCAACTCAATTTCACCCACATCTATATGTTGATATCGATCTTCTTCCCGTAGAAATTTTCGCAGCATAGATACATGAAAAACATTATGTACCCTATGAAGATTATCTGGTAGAGCCAGACGATAAGCTACGGCCCCAATCCGATCTGTAATCATAAAAGGACCCACAAAACGAGGCGATAACTTACCCTTTGACCCAAACCGCATTACTCCCTTCAGGGGAGAAACCTTAAGCAAAACCTGATCTCCAATCTTAAACTCCAAAGCACGAGTTCGACGGTCAGCATAACTTTTCTGTCTGCTTTGAGCTGTACGCATCCGATCCCTAATGATAGCGATCTTTTCTGACGTGTCCTTAATAAATTCAGGACCCAAAAAGCTGTTCTCACCAACTCCAAGCCAACAGACAGGAGACCTACACGGTCTACCATACAAAGCCTCAAATGGTGCCATACCAATAGTTTTCTGATAACTATTGTTATAAGCAAACTCTGACAGCGGCAAATATTCCTCTCAATTGCCCTTAAAATCAAGAACACATGCCCGCAACATGTCTTCTAAAATCTGATTAACTCGTTCAGTCTGTTCATCTGTTTGAGGATGATAAGCAGTGCTAAGATAAAGTTCTGTACCCAAAGCCTGCTGAAAGCTCCTCCAAAATCTTGATACAAACTTCTGATCTCTATCTGATACGATGGATAATGGTACGCCATGAAGTTTCACCATTTCTGCAAAATACAGCTTAGCATACTGTTCTGACGTAAAGTTTGAACGAACAGGCAGAAAATGAGCGGACTTGGTCAATCTATCAACAATGACCCAAATAGAGTTGTGATTATGCTGTGAAGTAGATAATCCCTCTATGAAGTCCATGGAAATACTCTCCCATTTCCACTCTGGTATGGGAAGTGGCTGTAACGATCCTGGCGGTCTCTGATGATCAATCTTAATCATCTGACAGGTGCTACATTTAGAGACAAAGATAGCTATGTCTCTCTTCATGCCGGCCCACCAAAACTGGCGTTTCATGTCCTGATACATCTTGTCTCCCCCTGGATGTACAGAGAACTGAGAAGTGTGTGTCTCTCTCATCACAACATTTCTCAAATTGTCAGCTGAAGGCACAATTAAACGTCCCTTGTACCTCAATCCTCCATCAGTCCCTATAGAATAAAAAGGAACATCTCCGGAGGCTAACTCCGAAACCCGATCAATACACTGTTGAACTGAGAGTTGCGCTTGAATGACCTGATGAATGATAGAAGGAGTTACTACCACACATGCCATAAAAGCGTCTGCTAACTCATCAACAGTCTTCAAAGCATCCCACTCTGTTGCAAACAAATCTGAAAGGCTGACATAGGGTCGGCGGCTGAGTGCGTCTGCTACAACATTCACTTTCCCTGGATGATACTGAATAGAGAAATGACAGTCTTTCACGAACTCCAACCATCTGCGCTGTCTCATATTCAGTTCCCTCTGTGTGAACAAATACTGTAAACTTTTATGATCGCTAAACAATCGAAAAGTCTCCCCCAAAAGATAATGCCTCCAAATACGCAAGGCAAAAACCACTGCTGCGAGCTTTAGATCGTGAGTCGGGTAATTAAGCTCATGAGGCTTAAGCTTCCTAGACCCATAAGAAACTGGTCGCTCTTCTTGCATCAACACACAACCCAAACCCTTCAGAGAAGCGTCGGTAAATACTAAATACTCGATTCCACTCTGAGGTGTGGCTAAGACAGGTGCAGAAGTTAACTTACTCTTCAATTCAGCAAAAGCAGTCTGACAAGAATCATCCCATACAAATGGTACATTCTTCTTAGTCAGATGAGTAAGTGGACCCGCAATTTTGGAAAATCCTTGGATGAACCTGCGATAATACCCTGCCAATCCCAGAAAACTGCGAATCTCTGTCGGTGAGGTAGGCTGTCCCCACTCCATAACGGCCGCAACCTTGGCTGGATCTACTGCCAACCCTTCTTCTGACACTACATGACCCAGAAATTTGACCTCTTTCTGCCAAAATTCACACTTCTCAAACTTCGCAAACAACTGATGTTCTCGAAGTGTCTGCAATACTGTGCGTAAATGTCTGGCATGGTCCTTCTCCGACTTAGAGTAAACCAGAATATCATCAATGAAAACAATGACAAACTGATCTAAGTACTCTCTGAATACTCTATTCATCAAGTCCATAAAGACAGCTGGAGCGTTCGTTAAACTGAAAGGCATAACACGAAACTCATAAGATCCGTACCTTGTGAGAAATGCTGTCTTTGGAACATCTTGTTCTCTGACTCGTAGCTGATGATAACCAGACCTCAAATCGATCTTTGAGAAGTAAATAGCTCCCTTCAACTGATCAAACAGGTCATCAATTCTGGGCAACGGGTACTTGTTGCGAATAGTGACCTTGTTCAGTTCTCTGTAATCAATACAAAGACGAAGAGATCCATCCTTCTTCTTTACAAACAGTACTGGTGCTCCCCATGGTGAAGTACTCCTGCGAATAAATCCCTGGCTGAGCAACTGCTGAATTTGATCTTTCAACTCCCGCATCTCCACTGGTGCCATTCTGTACGGCGCCTTAGCAATAGGCGTAGTGCCTGGAGCTAAATCAATGACGAAGTCTATTTCTCGACTCGGTGGCAAGCCTGGAATCTCCTGGAAAACATCCTGGAATTCCTGTACTACCGGAATACTGTCAAGAGATACCGCAGTCGCTTCTTGTGAGTCCTCCTCAAGAACGAATAAATAAGTGCTAGGCCCTCTATCAGGTTATGGTACAACAAGAAGATACATCTCGTGTCCTGGTATAGCAAATACAATAGACTTTTCGTAACATTTTACCTGAGTATGGTACTGAGATAACTAGTCCATCCCAAATATAACATCATACGAATGTATATCTAACACTAACAAATTTGCAAGAAATCGAAGCCGGCCCATATCTATAAGGATATCACCGCTACACTCTCGTAAAATTGCGCCAACTCCCAATGGTGTATAAATATTAAGAGGTTGGTCACATAACTGAGTCGTCATACCAGATAAGATAACAAAAGATCTAGACACAAAAGAATGTGATGCACCAGTGTCAAACAGTATACGAGCAGTTCTACCATGTATAGAAAACATACCCTCAATAGACTGAGGAGCCTGCGCATTATGTGGCATGAAGTTATAAACTCTGCCATGATACAACTGCTGTGGAGGTTGTCCCGGAGGAAATGGTGGTGCTGGAAGTGCCGGAAAATTCTGAACTTGCCCACGTGGCATCGGTGGGGCCGGTAGAGGTAACGGCTGATTAGGTCTCGGCTGCCCATACTGTCCCTGCTTAGCTTTGGGACACATCTTGGCCGGATGCCCAATCTCTCTACAGTGATAACAACGTCCCGTAAAAGGACCTGCATGCCTTCTTTGTTGATTTCCCGACCACTGTTCCTGTCCGGTCTGAGGTACCCCACCTTGTCTACCCTGATTAGGGACTCCATCCCTCTGCACATCTAGGTTTCCTTTGTTTTTCTTCCAAGGTTGATGTCCTTGAAATCTGCCCCGATCATTGGACTTGGTACCACTGCTGCTTCCTTGGACTTCCGGTAATCACTCCTCATCTGGCAGTGCTGTAAGGCGGCATTAACCACCTGGATATAAGTAGTATATGCAGGACTACCTATGATCACCACTTTAATCGGCCATATCAATCCTTTCACAAAGCGGTCTCTCTTCTTTTCTTCCGTATTGACCTCCTCTGGTGCAAATAATGACAAATTAATGAACTTCTGTTCATACTCAGCCACAGTCATATCCTCCTGTTGCAGATCCAGAAATTCAGTCTTCATCGCTGATCTTACTGACATAGGAAAATACTTGTCGTCAAAGCGAGTCTGAAATTCAGCATACGTCAATCTGGTCCTCTCATCGACAGTAGTAATAGACTCCCACCACTGCAATGCATTGCCTATCAGCATAAACGTAGCTAGCATCTGTTTCTGCACTTCGGTACAGATTACCATCCGAAGATGACGCTCGCTCTCCTGTTTCCACTGATATGCTAACACGACATCTGTGGACCCTGCAAATGTTGGTGGATTTCCCCGGATGAACGAGTGACGAACTTTGTCCCATGACATTGGCTGTGCCACTGGTTCAGGAACAGGTACTATCGGAGGAGGTTGCTGGTTTCGTAGAGCAGATGCTACTCCTGCTGCTACAGCTCGTGCAATGATATCAGCAACTTGAGGGGAAAATTCCTGATTCTCATTTTGAGTTGGGGAAATACTGCGATGACGGTTCGCATTCCTTGTCCCACGCCGAGACATCCTTCTTTTGAATTCAGAAAAATCTAACGTCAGTACATTATAATGGACCGACTAAAAGAATACAAAGAACCCTAATACTTAGGCTCTAATTATCAGAATACACAACGCGGAAGTATAGTAATCACAGATCCCTAAGACACTCGAACCTGGAATACTCTGATACCAACTGTGACACCCCCACATTTTCCACGCATAAGTTGATCAGGCTTATACACGAAAAACGAGGGATATCAAAAACAATTGGCAATATACAAGCATGTAATACAAAATGATGATAATAAAAGAATTTAGACAGGAAAGGAAACTAAATAATACAACATCCATCCATCCTTTATTTAATACAGTACTTCGTTACAACTTGGAAATCCTATGTCAAGGATCCCTAAATATAACCCTGAGAGTTCAACGTCAAAAGTAAATAAAAACTGAAACTGAAGTAATACATAAAACTTCTACCCTGAACTGGATCGTAAGAGTAGATGAGTTCGGATGGTGGTCCCTCACTGCTAACCTCAACCTTGGAACGGGTACTGACCGTATCCTGAAATAACAACAATGGTGGGTCAACCCCACGAGCAAGTCCTCTCTACTATGACCCAAAACAGAGAATCAAATAAATTAATCATTAAGAATCGGATGAGTACTATATCTGTATACATCCTAAGGGAACTATCCAATGTATAACATGACCTCAACCAGAATAGACGGTGATCACTTAGACTCACACTAGGTGGTTAAGTGTCGCATTTCCCTACCCGGGAAATCAGCTATTATACATGGTGCACGGTACTGACAACACAGACTATAACGAACTACACAGTGATAACACCTCTCAAAGTACTGATGAATATACCGAGCATACAAATTAGGCAACACATGCCAATAATATTACTAAATATACTGAGCATGTTAATTAGGCAACACATGCCAATAATATTAAACCACATACCCCGACAGCCACACATCTGTCTATAGCAACGAATGCATAAGGTATAAATGAGTCTAAACTTATTAGCCAGCTCATATGGTTCTATATGGCAACACATCCATATAATATAAATGCGACATAATTAAACAGTCCATTTATTTCCTGAAATGCACACAGCATAATAATCATGGTTTATATATCATTTAACAGTATAAACATCCCATAAGATATCATGGATAATTTATCTGACGAAAACCATGGCATTATTTAGTTTAACAGTAATGTTTGATACCATTTAATAAGATAATAACACTATTTATATTTAACAATGTCGTTAAATAAATCACATTAGTATCCGTACTGTGAACGAGCCAATAAATGCTTAGAAAAGATTAATCGGTCATAAGAATAAGTAACGGGTATTAAAATAATAATTTCGTGGCCCGTTAAACCCGTAAATACCAACACAGTACCTAAAAATCCAAGTTTAAGATTCTGGAATTTACAAAACAGGCCCTAGGGGTACTCTGGTAATTTCTAGCAGCTGTAGAGACCCCACACGCGCCCTCACGCGCCTCCCAGAGCCTCCCCACGCGCAGCCCAACCTTCCCCACTCTCCCACGCGCCTCCACGCGCGTCTGGCATCAGCCACGCGCGCGCACGCGCTCCCACGCGCGCACTAATGCATCCTGATGACGTGGCTCGTCCTAATTCGTTGGCTGCATCATCCTACTATGGGCGCGCTACACTGAATCATCTCACCCTCTCATCACTCAATCCTATGCTCATAGATCCGGGTGTACCGCGGTAACATGGACCGCGATGCACCGGATCAATCAGCTTCATCTAAGGCCCAGGATGCGCGCGCACACCCTCTTATGGTGCGCTGCATCACACCGGATCACTCCGGTCATCTCCCCCATTGCCGGCGACCGGAAAACTCGCCGGAGGGTCGCCGGAAAATACAGAAAAATTTCGAAAATTGCCCAAAAATTCTAAAAAAATTCTAAAGCCTTAAATAACAACTTCCTAAGTTTCAAATAATTACCTAGGCTAATAATAAATTATTTAACCCTTAAATAATTAATATCTCATTATTTTAATAAATTAAATAATTAATTTCTCATTGTCCTAGCATGGTTTCTAACCTCAAAAATAGCCGAATAAATGTAATGAATAATTTATGGACTCAAAGTGGAAAAGTAGATAATAACTTGCCTTTTTGGATTTAAAATAAATCCGCCGGTTGCGCGTAATCGGATAAATTCCCTACACCGGTCCAGGCTCCTTTCTTTCTCTCTTTTCCTTTCGGTCTTATACAAGAACTCACTTTTATTATTTCCTTCTTCAACTTATGTGAATCCTCAACTAAAGGGCTAACTTCTATATATACATAACTTATATAATTTAAATATTACAAATATCTATTTTTGCATTTAATTAACCACATTCCCAACCATAAGGCTTTAAGGCTAGCAAGCCAAGTCAAGCAAGATGTCCTAAGGTAAATCCTATCCTAAGATTTAATTTCTTCATCATTACATTGATTTAATACTATTATTATTTATTATAAATATTGTTATTATTTTTATTATTAATAAACTATTATAATTATTATTATTAAATACAAATTAAATACTTTAATTAAATAATATTAATTAATCTAAAACCTAACCAATAAAATGTCTAAACTAATCATTAGAATATAAAGAACAAAAAAATCAATATTACATGCACAAATAAATAAAATTAATTAAATAATTTAACATATATAATTAAAAGGTGAATAAATCTACACATTAAAGAATTAACCTAACACAAAAATTAATTTAAATAAATTCTTTAAAATTACGGGTATTACATAACATGTCTCTTCTTATGTAGGGTAGTTCTTTTTTACTATTTTATTATCATTATTTTTCTTATCTTAATTTCTATTGTTGAGTTATTTTTCTGTATTGTATAAATTCTATGGCCTGTTTTGCCATCCATGGCTTGTACGTTAAATATTCATGTTGTAATTTCAATATCCCATGTTCATTTTAATAGATATATTATTCGTTTTGGGGAAAGTATTATGAATTTATATTGGTAATATTATTTATTAATTGATGTGTTATTCATTGTTTCGACTCATTATGTATGAATAAAACTTTTTGTATTGTTGTTGGTATCTTATAAAATATATGAAAATTCCCTAACACCCCTTCCAAAACCATGCAATTTAGATAAATACACTTGAGAACTCACTGCCAGACCAGATTAATTAACAACATGAAAATGAAAGACTATAATTAAATAAAATAGAAGAAATACAAGAGATGAGTACTAACACTCGGTTCACCATGTTTAACATGCAACATTTAATAGCTAACATTGAGCAAGCACCAGAATTAGTTGGGTCATTAAGAAGCCTTGAAAGTGAGGCCAGAACCAGCCAACTTCTCTTCCACCTGATTCTTCAAACGCTCGGCCATGGAAGGAGTTAGATAATTGACCCAATCTCCGACCTCGCCTTTCCTAAAAAGTGAACTCTTTTGAAACCCTCCTTTCATCTTTCCGGTATTGTTAGCTTGCAGAACCTTGAGATTTTCAAAACTACACAACCTTGAAATTTGTTCTATCACACCATCTCTCTCTTCATCGGCCGAGAAAGGGAAGCCCAAGAACACAGCCAGCTTCTTAAGGTAACCCAAGTTGACATCCTCTTTCATATCTTCATATTTCAAGAACAACACCTTATTAGGGTTCTCCAAGCTCGCGTTCCAGTACCCTAAAGCATGGTCCCAAAAGGGTCCGTTACTGTGAACTCCCTTGCAATACATGTCAAAAAAATGCTCTAATGGAACTAATGGACCCGCCTCTTCTTGGGAACGTTTGAGTAAGAAATGCCAGTGGGAGATGAGCTGATCAAAAGGGTTTCGACTCACGTACACAATGCGACAGCCCGAGTCTTTAATAGAAACTGGTAGTGATGCGTATGGTAGGTGGGTTGCGAGAATTCTCGGGTCACTTCGATCCTCGAGGTTTGGGAGGTTGTTTTTGTCCAAGTAGAGATCCATCTCCAAGAAGGGTACAAGGTCATGAGGGTTGGCAGTGAGCAAAGGGTTGGCTGTGAAACCATAGCGGTTTCGGTTCACAATGGCGAACGCGAGGGCCTTGGACCAAGTGGTGCCTGATTTGGGGACACTGGCTATGATTAGATCGGTGTCACGTGCTTGGAAGTGTTTCTGGAAGGAGATCACACCATGGAATGCCCAAGATGGACACCAAAAGCCTTGGAAGTGGTAGAGATAAGGAGTGCCTTCCCAGATTCTCTCTCTAGGGAGAGTTTGCAGGAACTCATCTTCTTGATCAGCTTCCATTGAGATGCAGCTTCTGGGGACATCTTTTTGCTCCATTGATATATATCAGTGTGGATGTGAAAAATATACACAAGCTAGGCGAGATAGTAGTACTCTGTGTTCATGATAACCATGAATATATAGAGAGGGTCATTTCTTAGTCATGTTCTATGTTAATTATTTTGAATTTCTTCACTGAATTTCACGTGCTTAATACGCAGCACACGTGTGCGAGTCCGTATCCCTATTTTGTGGTTTGCAAATGTGCCAACATAGTAATGCTGGTCATCTACCTATATAAATGCTAGACACAGAAATATTAATTCTTGTCCCCTTTTGCTCCTATTTCTCTCTTAAGTTGCCTGTGCCCAAAATTTATTGTTAGAGCTGTATCCCATCTGTACTTTGGGACCATATTTTTTTTTTTTTTTTTTTTTTGGGGGGGTTCAACACTTGTATTTGTACAGTTTCATACTCTGACTGGGAAGGAAAATTGACGACTCTCAGCAAGTCATCTCTTTATGAGTAGGAGCTGGTTACTAATAATATCCTCAATTAATGTAGTATTGGAGTTTGCTCTACATTATTAATTGGATATTTTGATACCAGTTGTAGAAACGCAAATAACAAAGCTGCTCCAGAAATAATCACAAGCAATCACAAGGAAAAAAAAAAAAAAAAAAAAAAAAAAAAAAAAATCACATACAAGAACACAAGATATACATAATTCACCCAAATCTTAGAATTATGTTTATGGAATGCATCTTTTTTTTTTTTTTTTTTTTTTTTTTTCGTTAAAGGTAAGCTTGTATAAAAAGTTGAAAAAATTTACAGTGAGACCCCAGATAGGAAAGATACAACAAAGAGGAAACAACCAATACAAATTTTGATCTGCTACAAGCAAAATATTCAAAAGCTAAACTAGCCAATTAAACTACAACTTTTTCAGCAGCAATAACAGCAGTAACTAATGAATACCATGTCCTCACGGCAGCATTCCAATAACCTTCTCAGCAACATAGGTCAAGGAAGGAGCAAGGCTTGCCCACAAGCTGTGGAACATCCCTGCTGCAAGAGAGTTTGTAGTTGAGAGGGAGAGTTGATCATCATTATGTCAGAGCTGAATTTTAACTTGAGCATTGCTAGTCTGGCTCTCACACAGCTTTTAACTTGTGCAATGATGTTGTGGTAGGGTGTTGCTTGGTTACTAAAGGCTCTAGCATTTCTTTCCATCCAAATAAAGTACACTGCAGCTGCCTACAACAGCTTATGTACTAAGCAATCTGCTAGTAACCAGTGTGTGGAGCACCATTGGATCATGTCATTCTAGCTGTTAGGCCTGATGTAGAACCCAGCCACTTCTTGAATAAACTTCCATATGTTAGAGGAGTAATCACACTTGAAGAAAATGTGGTCAATTGACTCCCAGTCAGTCTCATAGAGGTAGCACCCGTTCGTGTAGTGTTTGTATAGGACAGGTTTGGCATCAAGTGTGTAGAGTCTTCCTCTTACATCCAGCCAAAAAATGAGACTATGCTTAGGGATGTGATGGATAAACCATACCAATTTATGCTAGGTAAAGACTGGTGATGATGGGCTGAAGTATTTCAATGTGCGAGCTATAGAGAAATTTCTGTTTGGACACGGTAACTATTCGACTGAATCTGGATTGGAGGAGGGTGAGGGCAGTTCATGTAATTGGGAAATGAAACTTCTAGATTGGAAGAAATGGTGAAGCTGAATAGTGGTTGGATTAGCCCATTGGCTGTTGGAAATTAGTCTATCAACTAAGATGTTGTTATCTAGTTGAAGAATTTTCAAACCAATGAGACCTAATTGTTGTACAAGAGGACCATTTGGTAGCCAGTAGTGTGGCGTTTCTGATTTTCGTCGTTTTTCTTTTTTTCGAAAAAAATTGTCGCCGTAAGGGCATTTTCGTCTTATCACATTTTGCGTACGGGATTGCGGTGGTCCAATTACATATTGTACATTTTTATTTATGTAGATCAAGTGGTATTTGTATGTGGTGCATTAATGTGTATGAGGTGTAAAATGGAGACAAAGAAAAAAAGATAATAAAAGAAAATTTTGTAGGGTCCGCCACTAATCCCACGTGTGGCTAGAGACCATTTTTTTTTAGTCTCTCATTTCTCTCCTCCCGTCCATTTTCTCTCTCTTTCTCATTTCCTTTTCATTTTCTTCTCTTTTGGCTTCAAATTTTGATCTTTGATTTCTCACTCCACACTTAGTGATTTTGAGTGCCGTTTGAGGCGAAACGGAGAGCACAGCGAGTTCTACGCGTTGATATCAACAATTTCAGCTTTGAGCCTCCCCTTGGCCTTCGAAAATTTGAACCCATTTTAAGGGTTTTGCTCTAAATCAAGGTAGGGGTTCTTAATCCACAATTTTCTTGCTCTTATGTGAATTACATCTTTTAAATTGTTGCAAGACATGCTTATTTGCGCTAGTTGTAGTTTAAAAGTAGTTAGAACATGTGTATGTGGGTATGTGAGAGCTTATAATTAATGTTTTATATGGAAAATTTGCCTATGTGATGATTTATATAGGTTCGTTATGCTAGATGTATTGTTGTATAAGAGTATGTTGAAATTTCTTGAGAAATTCTTGTGAAATTATGCCTTGGTTACTTGAATTGAGTTGGTTGTGTAATGATGAGTATATTGGCATGATATAAATGCATCTATGCATTTACATTGGGCAAGAAATGGGAAGAATTGATTTTGAAATGAAAATGGGGAGTTTTGGGAAAGTATATTGATGAAAGTGTTTTGATAAAACCCAGTCGCTGCGGAGTCACCAACGGGCCGGTAAATTAATGTAACCTAGAGGGAATTAGGGAGATTGTCCTAGCGTGGTTGAGCTATCTGGGCCCCATAATGACGCTGCGGAGTCACCAAAGGTCAGGGACAGTACCCAATCCTTCTCTCGGTGCTGCGGAGTCACCAAAGGGGGTTACATTAACAATTTAGAAAGTGATGGATGAACGGTTTTGAAGATGGGGAGTGGCATTGACATGCATTACATTCCATTGCATTATATTGTTAATATTGAGCTCAGATATGATGTTGTATTTTCTCGATTTTGTATGACCCCGATTCCTATCGCTCTATTCTTTGCTTGGATTCACGGGGACACAAGAGACGTGTCTTAAGTGTCACCTACTGAGCATATTGCTCATTCCATCATATTCTACATTTTTCAGGTCATGGAAAAGAAGTAGCCGACGGTAATCCAACTTAGCCTTAGCTTGGAGTAGAAATGCCCTTTTTCATATTTTTTGTAAATGAACCTAATTTTGTAAAATATTAACTCAAGGTATATTATTTTGCAATGTGTGATGTATTGAGGTTCATTGTGTATATGGTTATTTGAGAGAATGTAATTAAGTTTTACTTACTCAAAATCAGTTTGTATATTTTAAGTAACGTGTGGTAAATTACGTTAACACGTGGTTGTTATTATTGCAATTTAGTGTTGAAATGTATTTAAAATTACACGTAAGTGTAGTGGCATGGGTGGTTGAATTACCAATGTTGGTGTATTTGGGTTATCACTGGCTTCCAATACGTCAACCGGTATCTTCACAGTGTGAGTCATTGTGGCTCACGTTGCAAACCAATCGACGTATGGCTTCCCATACGTCGACCGGTATCATGGCTCAAACCAATCACGTATGGCTTCCCATACGTGGACCGGTATCCATTGTAACGCACTTTCCAAATCAGTCGACGTATGGCTTCCCATTCGTCGACCGGTTTCTGCCTTTTAATTAAACTAAATTTTAGTTTCCCAAATTACACTTTGGCACCCAATAAATGTTACACGTATTTATTATATGGCCCAATAAAGTGCAATAATTATATTTTATCCACCGAAAGGACTATATTGCCCCGAACTTTATTTTATTTATTATGTAACCCAAGTTAATGACCATTATACCCTTTGAGTGTCAAATTATTGAATTATGGCAATTTATCATTTTGTTCTTTTGGACCATGATATTTAAATTTAACGTGAAATTATCGTATTACCCTTGGATGATTTTGGATTGGAAAAGGACCCGTTTAATGATCCGGATCCATGAGGAGTTGGGTCGTTACAGAATGGTATCAGAGCGATGGTTCGAAAACCTTAGGACGATGGGTAGAGGCCTATGTAGGATTGCATGGGAAGTTGTTTGTATTGCGTATGAGAGTATTTGTTACGTGTTTTGATATTTGAAGAAGCATGCTAAAGTGTTTATTTGCCTATGTGTTACATGTTTAAATGTTTAAATGTTTGAGCAGCATGCCTACGTGTTTACTTACTTACCTGTTTAATTGCCTACGTGTTAATTTGCTTATGTGAACGCATGCTTATATGTTATATGTGTGTAGCACTAGCTTAAATGATCCATGAATTGGTGTTTTGTTTTCAGTATGTAGTTGTTTAGCAGGCACATTTTTATTTTGTATTAGCTCTGTGAGTTATCCTTTATGACGGGAAAGGTATCAGCATTGTGAGTAAGGGAGATGTGAATAGCATGATCTATTGAGTCCAGTTTGATTTAGACGCGTTGTTCCATTAGGAATCCTTTCCCTAGAAACTAGTAATGGTAGAAGAGTTTGATCTTAGGTGTCTTCTGGGATGGAAGTTCTCATTTTCTTGCACAGGCAAGAGTTTGGGTTGTGTTATCTCGGTGTGGTGAGGGGACTCTTAGGGTGATGAATCAATAGAGCATGGTGCATGATTCATGGGATTCTTACATGTAAGCAAAGTTGATTAGACGTCATAGGATGCGAGGTGGTATGTAGTGTATGATTTGTAAGGTTCAAGTGTTGTACGGGTTGAGCAAGGTTGGTATTTAGTTCTTATTTAAAAGTTCACTAATATTTAAGGTTGAGAGTTGGCCTCTTAGATTATCGTTTATAGAGTATGAGTTGAGGTTGATCTTGAGTTGGTGACGAGATGAGTAGATGACATCTTTTATTTTGATTTCCAGTAAGGAAGACAAAAGTTTGGTGTGATGTGGTTTGATGACCATAGAATGTTGGTCACAGATTGTGTTGAGCCAGGATGAGGAGTAACCTCTTGGGCTTGATGGCCTGTTCTATTTGATTTCTTTGTTTTGTGGCCCTGTGGGCGGGTGTACGTGAGCGTGTGCAGG